GCCAATCTTGGATGAGGAGGTGAAATGTGTGTCACTATCATGATTGATAGTTAGAGAGACAAAGTCACTCAATAAGAGTATCTAAATTTTTTATTTTATTTTCCATATGGGTTAAGGGCAATTTCTAGAGTACAGTGCATTGACAAGCAAATATCACTCAATAAATGCACAAACACCCAATCAATTTAGATGATTAGCCTTAAACATAGTTTTTTTATTATTTCTGGGCAAAGATTCCAAGGCTTCTCGGCTACCTTGTTAATTACATTTACCAATGGAGCGGCAAAACATATAGAATTTATAATAAGAAAAATATGACAAGATAAGAAGAGAAAGATCAATAAGGCATATACGTGGTTCGGCAATGGTGCCTACGTCGACGGAATGTAAACCACTATCTCATTCATGAGGATTACTCTGGTTTACCAGAGATTTATATAGTTACAACTCTTACCTTTTAGGAATCAAATCTCATTACAATTGTAGTCCCACAAAATAGGAAACTCAATAAAGTCAATATATATCCTCAATATTTGATAACTGTTAATCAATATATATCCTCAATATTCGACCCCTCAAGTTGGTACATAGATATCAATGGAGCCCAACTTGGACAGTATCTGATTGAACTTTCTCTTTGCAATAGATTTGGTAAATATGTTTGCAAGTTGGTCTTCACTTCGAACATAAGGAGTGCTTATAATTTTTTACTAAACGTTTTATCTCACAAAGTGACAATCAACTTCTATGTGATTGGTTCTTTCATGAAAAACTAGATTTGAGGCTATATGAGTAGCTGTTTGAATCATAAAACATCTCTATTGGATTGACGGTTAGGAACCTCATATCTCAAAGTAGGTATTTTAGCCACATCAATTCACTTGTAGTTGAAGTCATAGCTCTATATTCGACCTCTGCACTGAATCGAGCAACTATATTTTGTTTCTTGCTTTTCCAATAACTAAGTTTCCTCTGACTAATGTATAATAGCCAGTAGTGGACCTCCTATCAATTGGACGACATGCCCAATCAGTATCAGACTGACCAATAATCTTAGTATGACCATTCAGTTTCAACCAAACACCTCTGCCAGATGACGACTTAAGATATCTGAGAATCCTATCGATAGCATCCATATGACATGATTTAGGAGCATGCATAAATTGGCTCACAAGACTAACCGCATACATTATATCTGGTCGTGTCACTGTCAAATAAATCAATATGCCCACAAGTCTTTGAAAACGGCCCACATCTTCAAGAGGTTTTCCATTTGTTGAATTAAGCTTGCAATTAATATCAACAAGAGTGTCAACAGGTTTGACTCCTAGTTACTCAATTTATTTCAACATATCTAATGCATATTTCTCTTGAAAAATGAAGATTCCATTTTTTTAATGTGCTACTTTAATGCTAAGAAAATACTTTAGTTGACCATGATCTTTGATTTCAAACTTCTTGTGCATATTATTTTTAAGCTTCATGATGTTTTATTTATCATTATCTAATATTGTCAATATAAATTAGTACAATTATTGTACCTAAAGTTTCTCTTTTTGTGAATGTCGAAGAATCAACTGAACTTTTAAGAAACCCAAAACTCATCAAACCGGAACTGAGTTTGGCATATCATGCACGAGGTAATTGTTTAAGTCCATACAAAGCCTACTTTAATTTGCATACAAGACCTATTTCCTTTTCTTTAGAATAACTTGGAGGAAGACTCATATAGACTTCTTCTTCAAGATTCCCATATAATAAGGCATTTTTAACATCCATCTGATGTAGAGACCACCCACAATTAACTGCAATAGACAAAAGAACACAAACAGTATTAATCTTTGCAACTGCTGCAAAAGTCTATCTATAGTCAACTCCATAAGTTTGGGTTAATCCTTTGGCCACCAACCTCATCTTATGTCTCTCAACAGACTCATCACTATTATATTTGATTTTATAAACTCATATACATCCAACTGTTTTCTTTTTATTAGGTAGCTTGACAACATCCCAAGTATGGTTCTTTTCCTCTTTCATAGTCTTCCTCCACACAGGTTGAGAAATAGCATTTTGAAAATCGTTTGGCTCTGAATTATTAGAAATAGAACTAAAAAAAACAAAATAGCAAAGAGAAATATTTTCATAAGAAATATGATTTTAAACAGAATGAGAAACTGCATGGTAAGTATAAAAATCTTGAAGTCTAGAAGAAGGTTGAGATATACGAGAAGACCCATGCAAGGGGGATTGGGTGGGGCCATGGTAGAGTCTCCTTCTTCCAAACCAGCTTGGTGAGTTTCAGAGGTATCTTCAATTCTAGCTTGATCATTATGACTTTCTTCAACTTTACCTTGATCATCATGACTTATTTCGAGTGTGTCGAACACATCACTTGTACTAATATTAGACAATGGCAAATGACCACTTGAACACTCCCACTGGGTCATATTTTCCAAACGATTCTCCAATTGGTCATGAAAATAAGACTCTATTTCAACAAATTGAATATCTCTGGATATATGCATTTTTCTAATACTGGGATCATAAGATTTGCATCCCTTTTGAGTTAGAAGAGTATCCAAAAAAGATACATCTACTAGAACGTTTATTAAGTTTATCTCGGTTGTGCCCAGCCACATGAACATAAGATACGGATCCAAATATTCACAAATAGATCAAATCAATTTTTTATTTTTCACAATTTCAATGGGAGACTTATCCTTAATAATTTTATTTAGAAGTCTGTTAAATGGATAATAAGCAGTTAAAACAACTTCAAACCAATAAATTTTTGGGAACATACATCTGAAATATCAAAGATCGTACCTATTTTTCCTTTCAGCAACTTCATTCTGCTGAGATATTCCAACACACAATGTTTGGTGTATAATATCAAGATTCAATAAATACTCAGAAAAAACTTTATTCACATACTTTTTGCCATTATCAGTCCGTAGAATTCTAATATTACCATTGTATTGAGAAGAAATCAATTGGAAAAATTCTTTAAACACATGAAAAACTTCTATTTTTTATTTCAATAAATATACCCAAGTAGCACGAGACCAATCATCAATAAAAGTAACAAAATATTTAAAGACGGAATAAGAATCAACTGGAGCTGGTCCCTACACATCAGAATGTATCGAATAAAATGGTTCTTTTGAAACATGCATAGAAGACTAAAAAGGAATTCTTGTCTGTTTTGAGAATTTACAAACTTCACAAGAATGAGAGTATAAAGATAGAGATGGCATTAAAAAATTTAGAACTTTATCTGATGGGTGTCCAAATCTCCAATGCCACAGTTTGTTAATATCATAATTATCTTGACTGGCAAGTAAAACCTTATTCTCTTTATTGAATAAATATAGCTCATGAGACAGTCTTCCTTCACCAATATTCTTCCCCGTGACCCGGTCTCGAAAAGTCACAGAGTTGAGAGAAAAAATAACACTGCAAATCATGCTCTGAATAATTTTACTAACCGACATCAAGTTTGAGGAAAATGATGGCATAAAAAGAACTTCAGAGTTTTGGGATTTGAAGAAGAAATTATTCTTGCCAACACCATAGATAGATACTGTAAATTGCCAGTCATATGATATGTAACCCCTGAGTATATTATCTAAAAAAAAAATATCACAGGAAGGCATAGAAGCAGAAGGGTTGCTTGTGTCCGGGAATAGAGAAGAAGGATCTTGTATGGAGGAAGAGCCATTGTTGTTACTTGCTTGTTGATAATGATCACAGTTGCAGTAATGGGATTGAGCGGTAGATCTGTTGGAATCTCTACCTCCTCCATTGTTTTGAAGCTCTTTTGTTTCATATTTCTCATTATTAGCAACTAGGGGAGATTTTTCAAGAATTTTTTTAAAGGTTTCAAAACCAAGATTCATTATTTTCTTCCGAGTTATATATCCAGATTTTCCTAAAAGAGAACAAAAAACAGCTTTTGACCAAGATAATTAAGTTCATTCAAACGAATAATAGTAAGTTTTATGCTGGAGTTATTTTCTGAATCTACCATTATAAAAGGATAACAAGAATCATAAGACTGACCTAATCGATAGCAGGGGCAATTAAATAATAAAAGATGCCTCAATAGTAAACAACCGATGACACAAATGAGAAATATTGTTTCTCTTTCTAAAAATCGTCAATATGCATCCAACAACTTGTGAACAAAATACTCACAATCGAAATAACGGGTTGCTTTCCTTCAAACCAAATCTTATAAATATTGGATCCGTAAATATTCCGAGAGAAAAAGTACCATCCAAATAGCAAACCTTGAGACAAATATTTGCAAAGCAAAAGAGTTTGCGAAAACACACTTGCAAATCAAAAACCTTTGCAAGAAGGTGAACGTTAACCTCAAAGATGCCAAGCGTTGATAAAGGATGAAGCACCAAAGGGGTTATTGCACCAAAAACCCTTGCAAAATTGGCGGCTTAAATCATGGGTTGAAAATTTTTGGAACCAAAGATGAGAGCTCTCTCTATCAACGGCCAACAATAAAAATTCCTGCTTTCAATGTTTTGCAAGACAATTCCAAGATAAAATCGTTGCAGAGCCTTTGGCACCAGTTTACAAAGCATGTAAAAGCACAGCCAAGTTTGCAAAAGTCACGGCCATAGAAAAACTCACGAACAAGTAAACCTCACGGCCAAAGCAAACTCACGGAATTAATAGGCACGGAAAATAACGATTATAGATAGCTAGAAAGATCCACGCTCACCACACAAAAACCAGTATAAATCGACTCTAGACCCTTTTAACACTGGTGTCAAGACTTCTGCTTTGATACCATGTAGAATTTGTAATAAGAACAATATGATAAGAGAAGAAGATAAAGATCAACAAGGCATCTGCGTGGTTCGGCAATGGTGCCTACGTCTACGGAAGGTAATCAAGTATCTCATTCATGAGGATTACTCTGGTTTACCAGATATTTATATAGTTGCAACTCATCCCATTACAATTGGAATCCCACAAAATAAGAAACTCAATAAAGTCAATATATATCCTCAATATTTGATAACGATCGACAAAACACCCATGTTTACTTGATTACAATTAGTAGCAGTTTGAAAGGAAATATACAAGGTACTTTCTTCGCATACAGAGGGCCTTCGGTCTTGCTAAATCCACTTATTTTCTTGTATACATATGAATTTTTATGTCTCTATGTATGTGTATCACAGATAAAAGATGAGATGCTCAATGATACCCAAGGTCGAATTCTCAATTGTTGTGTAATACCCATCTCAACTTCACTTAATAGGAGTCACAAGCATCCATGGTGATTTCTAAAAGACCAAACCAGCTCTGAAAATGGCTAAAAAGACTTGCGAAACCATGACCGGATAGCTCTGAAAATGGCTAAAAAGACTTGCGAAACCATGACCGGATTGCAGGTGACTCCATGATTATTCAGCCTGGTAATCTCTTAGCAGTGGAGAGGAAGAACTCAAGCTCCTATTTTTTAGAAAAAAAACAAATAAATAAAGCAGGATGCAGATAAATCAAGCTCTTGAATTTACAATGGAAACCATAAGTAGAGAAGGGAATTATAGGTATTGTACAAATGCTGGCCTTTAAGAATTTGAGACATCTTTAGTGGTATACAATCGAATTAGCCACCTTAAATTAGGTTTAGACTTGAACCTTTGAGCCTATAGAGGTAAAAGGCTCTTTGCCTAATGCCGTCTTGGCTGCAATAATTGCCAAATTTGCTTGTACTTATTTATGAAGACCACATAATGTTTTGAAAAGGTATACGAAGAGGCCATCTAGGTCTGTCATATTTCAAATCAGGTAATTGTGAGTTATTGATTACAATTAAAGCTCAAAAAAAAGATCTAGTCGCTAAGAGCAATTATGATCTCTAAAAAATAAAAATTAATAAATAATAAATTAAAAAAAAACACTACAAGGTGTTGTCATTTTGCAATATTATTGTTATTAAGCCATGATTTCCCAAATACACACATACATTCTAATATAATTTGATGAAAATGATTCATCCGTAGCATTGTTCGTATAAAAAAGTAAAATAAAAGTGACGATGGTTACAAATGAAAAGCTAAAAGCCTGACATTAGTTACAAAAGCTTACAAAACAAGATTCTTGTTTGATTAATAAGATTTTTGTTTGATTAATAAGAGTAGGGTTTTGGTACTTCAGGGGCCACACTTGTTAGAGTGAATCCCTTGGATATTCATACTCCATAAAAATGGCTGCTGCACCAGTAAACTCAGAACCTCTTTCTCTCTCTATAGCTGCATATATGTCTTTTTGGAGATGGGAGAAAATAAAGAGAGAAACAAGAGGGAGCAAGATAGAAAGATGTCTCCTTAGAGAGAGGAAAATGATGAGAGAGAAAGAGGGAGAGACACCATTTTAGAGAGAGAAATAGAGCGCCGAGGGGACGGGGACTACCAATCGATTGTTTCCAATGCAATCTGCAACATCCAGATTGTGCAGACATGTCAGCGCAACCGCCAAACAGCCTAAGTATCGCTAACATGAACTTAATGTAAGAATGGTGCTGGCATAATGGTGGTAGTGCTACCTAAGCTCCAAATAGAGAAAATTGAGCCTTGCCAAACTAAAATGGGTAAGGGCCTGCAATCCCGACAGATCTACCCGAAGGAAAAACATGAACTCAACATTCCTTATGAGAGCACCAGATAAAAATAACATAATACAGTAAATCATCCACAAGACTAAAACTTAGTTTTAGCAACGGTAATTATTTAAATTTCCCTTTTTTTAGATAGAAAAGGAAAACACTTTATGTGTCATCCAAGCATAAGAACTGAGAAAGAAGAGGCACCTGCGCTTCACATCCCCGCAAACGCCTGTGGTTTTTTATCAACCTTTTAAAAACTGAAACAGAGATAAATAAAAGATAGAGAGAGAGAAAAACAAAGAAAAATGAATTTTGGATTGAGGTAATGAAGAAGCGTATTCTGCACAAGATCACGCGTTTAACCATGAACAGCGCATCGAGGTACAAGTCTATCATTTTTCTTCTTCTTCATCAGAAAACCATTCTCCCTGTTCCCTTAATTTCCTTCTCTTCATCATCAAACCAATGGTAATGTCTTGCGTAAAGATAGACAAGGACCTTGATGCAATGTATATGACCGAACTGCGCGATCTTGAGCAAAATATTCAAATCACAAAAACTTGAAAATCTGCTCATTAACAGTCCCTAATCAACCTGCAAATGAATAGAAAAATAAAGATGAATAAGCATTGAGAACTTTGAACCAGGAATAAAAACAATGACAATTTATAAGAGATGAACTTAGGAATCAAGAGTTAGATATGTTTTTCCTATCTTCCTCTAGGTTATTGCTATTCTCACTGAAACCATTGATCAGGAAACCAAAGAAAAAGGCATAGATACATAAAATGGGTGCATGCAGGAATTCCTCCTGTTGGCACTAACAAATAGAGAACTGTAAAATATATTTTCAGGTTACTGACCTGAAAATGGGCCTTAATCTCAAAGCCCTTAGGGATCTCTATTTATATTGGCTTAATGCATGTGGAGACAGAGAGAGGTGGTGGGTTTTAATTTTTTTTAGTTTTAGTAGGATGCAGTGGAAAACGGTTCCCCAGGGTGTGCTGGACCAGGGTCTTTAAAGGGCAACGTACCGGTTAGGGACAATTACGATAATACCCTTACAATATTTGTACAACTCTATAATTAAGAAAGTTTCATCAATATGACTCACAAGTCCCTTCAAGGTTGGGGGCATATGTCATGTTTCCTAATACTGTTTATCCAAAAAACTATTTTAACTGTCAAATGCTTATTACCATACATTGTTTTTCAACAACCATCATATATTTTCCATAAGCACCAAAAAATTGCTTTATTTAAAGGGTAATTAGCCTCCCTATTCTTACACTTTTGGGGACATGCGCACCTTGGGCTAGCAATGGGGTTGGTGACTGGCCCAGCCTGGTCGTAAAAAAGTGGGGCCTAGGCAACAAATTGGCCGGAGGGTTGGGCTAGGGCCACTGCCATCCCAGTTCGGCCCTACCCTCTTTCTTTCTTTTTTTGCCTGCCTTAGTGGCCAGGGCTGACCTAAGCTGGCCCTATAGGGAAAAGGGCCGGGCTAGGAGGCCGGGCCCTTGCGACCATTGGGTAAAATGGTAAATATAATGAAAGGAAAAAATATTGTTCCTCTTGCTATAATTGGATAAGCCACGTCTTCTTCACTTCGGGTGTAGGGGTGGAGGAGAAGAAAAAGAAATAGGGTTAGGTCAATTTTCCATGCATTGGAGAGGTGATGCATGCCGAAAAGCAAAAAGAATGATGTGGGTCCATTATTGGAAACATTTTCCTTTTAAATTCATTAGTAAACTTATAAAGGAAAATTTGCGCCAATCACTGGTTTTGGCAACTGTTGGGCGAAAAATCAAAACCATCTTTAGGGTGCATGATTGCCCCTATCCTGCATTTAGGTAGTAGGTGCATTTAAGTCCCAACAAAAATATAGTACCCCTAGCCTGGGTGAAAATTTTTATTTGTTTTGATTTTTATGGATTTTAGGTTCGTAATGACAATATATTGAAATCAAAAGCATATGATTTTGATAGATTT